AGTAAACCCGTCTGATAGGGAAGGTTTCTTTCATTAGTGTATTGATGCTGCATTCCTCAATTGCGAGCTTGATCTGAAACTGATTGTACATGTCAAATAAAAATCTTGATTGCGATCTTGAACGCATTTCCTGAACTTAACTGGATTTTGCTTGTGCATGTGGTGTGATTAAATGAATGCAAACATTCAGCTGAACTAGTTTTTAAGCTGGAAACACTAGCTTTGATTGCTAAATATGATCCACTATTAAGGGCAAGACAATTAATGCTCAAGTGTTCATGATACCATCATGAAAAACAGGATGTTGTCCCGGTCACTTTCATGATAAGCAAATTCAACAACAAATTACATTTGTTTGAGGTACATTAGTGGAATTCATATCATAATCTTAAGTCCACTATAACCCAATTCCCACAGTACAGCAATTCATTCCAGTTTAGTCAAAAAGATTTCACAAAGCTACACCATTGAATCCATGAATCCAATCAAACCTTTAAAATATAATTTACTTCTGAACCAATTCAAAGGCCTACTAAAACCAGGAAAAATCAGGATTAGCAGACTTGCTGTGAAACTCCCCATTGCGTAAGCCTGGCTCAGTTGCCTCTGAGGCAGAAGGTTGAGGGCTCACACCCCATGTCGAGACTTTATTGAGTTCAGTCTAAGCTGGCACTCCCGCTGGCAGTAGGGAGTACTGTGCGCAAATTGGCAACAGGACCTACAAAATTCAGTTATAAAATGCACAATCAGTACACTTCACAGCAAAATCCTCTGCTGTATTTTGAAATGTCTCAATGACGTGATAAGACCCCAGATATAATAAATAAATAGTCCTTGCATTTGATATAGTGTTCTTCACGTCTTCTAGACGTCTCAAAGCGCTTCACAGAATATGCCGTAAAGTGAATTGATCGTATATTTGTGGGCGAAACGCAGCAGCCAATTGTACACACCAGTATCCCACAAACAGTCATGGATTGAAAATGACTAATTTATTATTGTTTTGGAGAAATTATGATTAGGCGTGTGGTTTAAGGAAACTTGCCCAAGGTTTCGCCCTGCCTGGAATTGAACCCAGGTGTTTCACTTGCAAGGCAAGTGCTCTAACCACTGAACTACAGGACTACAGAACAGATATTCAAGGTTATTATTATTATTGTTACTATTAAGAATGTAAAGTATTTAAAAGAGGTTCCAAACAACTCAACAATGCAAATCAAAATGGGAAAGGTCCCAGGTTTGTACAATCACTAAGCTGGAATGGGCTGGTAAAATGCCCAGCCAAGTTTAGATACAATTCAACCTAACATAAATATCAACAGACAGTGCCAATCACTACCAACTTATACTACAGTACCAGTAAGCTATGATACAGAAAATATGTTAAGCTTCCAGTCAGCCCAACCTACAACCGTGAAAAGACATTTGTGAAAAGCCCATGTTGTAAACCAAAGCTGCAATCATCAGATACACCTGTACTATGATAGTAACCCAAACGATTCAGTCAGTTTATGGATGGTAAACACCACAGTCAAACTTAAGAAAACTTACTGTGTGAAATTTCTTCTTGAGCCAAAAGGATTTAGTCAATCCCAAGGACATCATTTAACATCACAAGCTTTATTTCTTGATCAATTGTATTCCACAGATTACGATTCATAATTTCTGCAAGATTTAAACCATACTATTCCACTGAAATAAAAATAGATAATCTTTGCATTGGATATGGCACCTATTACATTGCAATTACATTACAATAATTCTTGCATTTGTTGGGAGGGCCATGATACAATACAAAATGACATTTTTAAAGTGACTTTCATGTCAGGAGGATACCCCAAGGTGCTGAATATTCAGGGATTAGAAGATAAGGTGTACTAACTGTATTTTTTGTATTTTAGTGTACTTTAAGCTCCCTCTCTTTTCAAGTAGTACCATGGCCTTAACATCCATCTGAACAGGCAGAAAGGACCTCAGTTTAACATCTTATCTGAAGGTCAGCACCAATAACAAAAGGAGCACCCCCCCCAGTACTGCAATAGAGTGTCAGTCTGGATTATGAGTTCAAAGTTCTGATGTGGGTACTTGAATCCACAACCTTCCGACTCAGAGGTGCAAGTGCTATTAGGGTGACACTTCTTAAGAGCTTCAAAGAGTTTGTTTGGCTAGAAGAAACTTTCTTCCCATTTTGAATAGGTTATGGGATCTTTAACGTCCACCTGGATAGGTAGATGGAACCCTGGTTGTAATGTCTATCCTAAAGGACAACACTTTCAACAACACAACACTCCCCCAGCACTGCATTGGTGGGTCAGCCTAGATTATGAGCTCACTATGAACCCACAATCTTCTAAATCAGAGGTAAGAGTGCTACCAACTGAGCTAGACAAACAGTTGTGTATTTAATTATCCATGCTTACATGTACCCCAAACCCTTTCAATACCATTCTTAAACAGCTACTCACACAGCAATTTGGTCCCACCCCCACCCAAAGGAGTTAATTGGCACAGCAATGATTGCATTTGTTTTAAGTCTATGCAACATATTCACTGCTCTATATGAGGGAACACATATCATTTTCCAATCTTGCTTGATACTCTCCAATTTTGTAAATTGTGTCTTAATTCTGTGGTCAGAATCTGCTTATTTCACCATGTCCACAAACCTTGGATATGCTGAAACAAGCATTATTCAGTAAATAAATGAAAACCTTCCAGTATTTTGAAGCCATGGTTCATGTCTCCTCCAAATCTCTTCCCAAATATGGCAGTTTTTACTCCTGCTTTAAGCTCCAGAATAAACTATTCCAATGATTCAATGTCATGTTGAAGATGACCTAATCAGTGCTGTCCTTCAGGTAAAATGTTAATGCCAGTTGAGGTCCAAATTAAATTAAGACCTGATCAGGTGGATGTTAAAAATCCGATGACACTAATCAGAAAAAGAAGGACATTTCTCATAGGTTCTTGACCAACAATCCTCCAACTGTTTGTGGCCTACAAATCAGTCATTATACTTGACATTATTTACCTTTTTAAAAGTGATAATGCGGTATAAAAATGTGAGTTCTTTGTGTAATCAAATGTCCTCGAGATTAATTTCAATACTTAAATGTTCTTCTTGTTAACAGACTGGAAACTGTCAATGAACTATTGATTATCATATCCAAATCATGGTTATTTTTATCAATCGACCCATTATCATACATCATGTTTCACAGTGCCTGCCAGGTTAGGCACTATCTACATCCATGTTGAGCTATACAGGTCCAGACACCAAAACAGCTACTCCTACTGCTATGGTGCACAGTGATGGACAGCAATACTTGAAGTAACATCTATAATAAGATGCACAGAGCAATCTATTGCCAATATAACACTGCAGACATCAAGGTATACTGTATAATCCTTGACAATGCATTACGATTCTTTGGCCTTTATGTGTTATACTCAATTAATTTAAAACATTTCTGTAAATCAAAAGAAGTGGTCCATAAATTTGACAGATTATATCCAAGTGGGTCCAATGTGAGATTACTATGGATTTTCACTTCACATCACTGACACAGGGCAACATGCTAAGTTCCAGTTAAAAAAGCAACGAAGGAAATTGTCACTGGTTACCTAAACTGGGTAACTTGTCACCTTAATGTGCATACCTTAAACCTTCAAGTAGCATGTAGTGCTTGGCAGTTATCCTGATCCTAACAACACGCTTTCTTTGGGAAAATTGAAGGTTTTAAGAGCATTTTTTTTAATTGCAAAGCAAAGTGGAGTCCTGTAGCTCAGTGGTTAGAGCACTCGCTTTGCAAGTGAGAGACCTGAGTTCAATTCCAGGCAGAGGGCGAAACCTTGGGCAAGTTTCCTTACTCCACACAGAGCCTAATAATAATCCCTCCAAAAACCCCAAAAACAATAATAAATTGGTCATTTTCAATCTACGACTGTGTGTGGGACATTGCTGTGCGCAATTGGCTGCCGCGTTCGCCCACAGATATACAGTCAATTCACTTTACAGTGTGTTCTGTGAAGCGCTTTGGGACGTCCTCCCGACGTGAAAAGCGCTATATCAAATGCAAGGATTATTATTATTATTATTACTTTCAGGCAAACACACACCACACACACACCTTCTGAAGGAACCGCTGACAAAACAGTACAAGCGAAGCACTACAGTAGAAGCTGTTGTTGCAAACCTCACTCACGGTATGAAATCTGACAGCCACGAACAAGGGGGGAATGAGGCAGTACAGTGGGATCCGTTAGGTTCCTGCTATGTTAAGTGATTTTTTTTGAATATATCCAGCGCAGTTCCCTTTTGCCTACAGTCCGCTGCTGAGCCCTGAATCCAGAGCGGCTCAGCTTCACTGACTTTGCTTTGCAAATCTCTGCACAAAGATGAGCCACGAATATTTAAATGGTGTGTGTGTGTGTGTGTGTGTGTTGGGGGGGGATAGAGGGCCACACCATCTTCGGGAAGAGCAGCGCCCAGTGCGACAGGGACCGGCACGATAGCGACCGAGGGGATCCCGACACAGTCGCAACACAGTCCACCGCATTGCCTGCGGTTTGGCTCGAACATTACAATCCGCTGATCGATCGATCGACCGACACAGACACACACACAGACATGAAATGTAGGACCAGCTCCATCCTCCCCCCACACCCCACACACTCCACACCCCACACCCCCCACACCCCACACACTCCACACCCCCCACACTCCACACCCCCCACACACTCCACACCCCACACCCCCCACACCCCCCACACTCCACACCCCACACCCCCCGCAGTCCATTTAAATGTCACCACTGCGCTCCACGGATTACAAACACACGGAGGGAAAGAGAAGGCAATATGGGAAAACCCCGAAGCCTCTCTACCTTCCCCTCTCTCTCTCTCTCTCTCCCTCTCCACCCCCTCCCTCACCGCAACCCCCGCACATAAACCGGATCCCATTAATAACGCCAGCAATTAGGAAATTGCCCGGGACTCACCTCTTTCTCCTCTGGATCGTCGCCCGCGGGTGTGAGGGGTGGGGGGTGGGGGGGGAGCCAGGCGGGGAAGGCGATGCCGGTCGGTTTCAGTCAGTCAGTCAGCAGGAGGTTTCGGATCCCAGCGACGCCCAAAGGCAGTCGGCAAAAGGCGTACAGAGAAAGGGAATAAGAAGAGGGAATTGAATGGAGAGAGAGAGATGGGGGGGAAGGAAAAAAAAAAGGGGGTTATGGACCAAAAGCCCAGAAGGCGGATGGAAATGATTAATCGGGACGGTGGACAATAAGGGGTCTTACCCGACTTCAACATTCGGCTTTTAAACCTGACATTGCTGACCATTTCGACCGGTTTTAAAATAAATGCCTCGGACACCCCCCGAGCAGCAGCAGCACTGACCGGGAGACTGGTACCCAACACAGCACTGACCGGGAGACTGGTACCCAACACAGCACTGACCGGGAGACTGGTACCCAACACAGCACTGACCGGGAGACTGGTACCCAACACAGCACTGACCGGGAGACTGGTACCCAACACAGCGCAGCGCAGCACAGACCCGGAACCAATCACACACACAGAACCGATACACTGGACCAACCAACCAACCAACCAGAGACCGGCACCGGCCAACCAACCAATCAGAGACCGGCACCGGCCAGCCAACCAATCAGGTCCCTCGACACACACTCGGCCTGGCCAATTGGAAACACGGCGCAGGAGGGCGCAAGGCACCAATCAGAGACACGGCAGCCAATCAGCCTCTGTGTGTGTGTGTGTGTGTGACATCCACAGGGGATCAATCGGAGATCAATCGGTACCGACAGCAAATCAGCTGAACAACAATGGGGCAAACAAAAGAAATCGAGATCGCCCCCAGGAACGAGAGGCAGAGAGAGAGAGAGAGAGGGAAAGCAGATGCAATTGACAGCAAACAAGCAGAGGGTGGGGGGGGTAGGAACCCGATTTAGGGCTTTCCCCCAATTGCTTCGTAGGGAAATCATAGATAGGAGAAATTCCCAAATTGCAATGTTAATTATCAGTTTGGGGCGAGTGGCAGAGACATCAGATTAGCCACACCGTTCTGAACTTGCGAGGGAGTAAGTGTAACCGAGGTTCCTACACCTGATAGGTATCCAGTGCCCCATCTTGAAATTGTGCATCTGTGTACTTCGGGTGAGGACAAGATCAACCTCACTGTGATGCTTTTCACCACAGCTTCCCCCCAAACTCAAACAACAGCTGAGCAGCACTCACCGTTTGGACTCACAAGATAGAGAATGGCCATTTGAGGAAGTTATCAGGTCACCATCTCACCGATGGTGTGTCCCTCCAGGGACAGAGAACATTCCATTCCAATAATCTATCTCTGGGATTTCCATGTATCAGTGGGATACTGATACAAATCTCTGTTTGGTTTGGATACTCTTAAGCATGGTGATGGGTTTCTGCACGTGTCAGACACCCGGCTGACCAAAACAAAATAGCTCTGACAAAGATGATTAGATCTGGGGTAAATCTTACCCTGGAATGGAAGAAGAAACCCAAGGAGCATTGAAATAAAAACAGAAGTCGCTGGGAACACCCAGCAGGTCAGGCAGCATCTATGAAGGGAGCAAAGGGAATTAACGTTTCAGGTCAACGACCTTTCACTAGTTCAAGTGACCTTTCATCGGTTCTGATGACCTTTCATCAATTCTGACGACAGGCCATCGACCTGCAACGTTAGCTCACTTTGCTCTCTCCATAGATGCTGCCTGACATGCTGAGAGTTCCCAGCGATTTCTGTTTTTATTTCAGATTTCTAGCATCTGCAGTATTTGCCTTTTTGTTTATTGCCAAGGAGAATTGAGCTAGGTATTGATCTGGCTGATTGGTTTAATGGAATCCCTGGGACACCTTCCATTTATGCTGGTTGTTCTTAACCTTTTCAGCATTGCCTCACAACCTGGTTCTGCTTGGCTGAGAAAAGGAACATGGATAACTACTTTGACAAATCAAGCTAAACCATGAAATTCTTGCCATGCAACATTGGCTTAACAAGATGCAAGAATAGGTTAGGAGCCCCCTTTCCGATTCTGAAATCTAATTCCAAAAATTTGCCTAATGTACCAGAACATATTGACCCACTTCGAATCCAGGAGACAGGTAAGGATCTCCGAAATGACTCAAGTATTTTTGGGGGGCCAAAGATGTGTTTCTGCTCCCACAATATTCCACTGCCAATGGGTGGGGCCCCCATAATCTCACGGGCCCTGGCACCACTGCACCATTATAGTTACATCACTGCTATACAATCTAGTGTAGGACATTGCTTTGAGCTGCCATGCTGCTGTGCCTGTGTATAAAATAGCAATGGTAATCGCTGCTGCAAAAATGGTACCTTGCCAATACATCTTCACTCAATCCACGACTATTTGTGGGACACTGCTGTGTGCAATTAGCTATCGCATTTCTACCACAAAAAAAGACAGTCACTCCATTTTACAGTATGTTCTGTGAAGCGCTTTGAGACGTCCTGAAGATGTGATAAAGCACTATATCAAATGCAAGAAATATTATATTACTAAGGTTTCTCACTAAGTGAAACTTGATGACTTTGGTAATGTACAATCTTCTGTCAGTATTCTTGGCAATACCACCTGTATTTGAAATGTTCCCTGTGAGTAAAACTTCCTGTTCTATATGTCTTGCTACTTTGACTCCTTGGTAATTTTCCATGAAGAAAGGATTTGCTAAATTTAGTAATGGACTGGTGAGTCAGATGGAGATTCTGTAAACAGGACCCCCCTCATTAGGGTGCAAGTGCAGTCTTTCTGATTGAGAAGTCAGTCACTTGGGTCTAAATTACAGCAAGTGTATAATTCGCACAAAGATAAATATACTCCAACAACAAATTACATTTCTATAGCGCCGTTCATGTCGAGAGGACATCCCAACCAAGGATGTTATATTAGTTCACCAGATTTTCTCCCAGAATTTTTTTTATCATTTGTAGTGGATGAAACCCTGAAAGCAACCTCTGGTGGATATATCACTTGCATTCATATATTTTTAAATTTTCAGGATTCAGATTCCTCATCAAGAAATGAAACAAATTAAACACTAATGCACCCGTCTGTATACCCTAATTCTCAAAGTGGTGCAAACTCTCTTCAGTTATGAGCATTTAGCTATTTGATTTATCTGATTTATCTTTTGATTATCTGATCATATCTGATCAGACTGGACACAATTTTCATTTGCTAATTTAGGGTTTTCAATCTGTGTTTCCAGATATATTAAATTTGGTGCCCATTAGGACCCAGTACATTTTTTCCTAAGCCTTTCTCTGCTCCTAGCAACTGCAATGGTCAATTTTGTGAGACATCTGTCCTCATTACATTTGTTTACAGCTGCACCCTCATGTGCTGGGTAGCACTAAAGAAAGGATTCCAACAAATTTAAGCTTGGAATTATTGCTTTTATTCTAACTAAATGAACTTGATTACTTTCTTTATATTAGACTCCATTTCTTTCCCCTACTGCAGATATCAAGCTAACAGAGCTATAATTGCCAGGATCATGCCTCTGACCTTTTTTAAGAATTGGAACAACATTAACTTTTTTTCCCAGTCGTTTGCTACAACCCTTCATTTAACAACTTGCAAAACATTTCAGTCACAGTTCCCTTGCTATTAGTCTCATTTCCTTGTGCATTCTTGGATGGATTCCACCTAATCATGTTATGAATATTCAAATCCTCCAGTTTTTAAAGAATGACTAGTAATCTCTGTTCGCTTCATAAACGTATGACGTATCCTTATTGCTGAAGCACTCATTGAAGTGGGTTTCCAATACTATGCAAGAGCGTTCATGTTGTGAAGTCAGCTCTGTTTTTATCGTGGGTTGGATTTATTTTGCTGCACCTTGTAACTTTGTATACTGGCTGCCGTGCTTTTTTGCTATGCTTAGGAGAGTTTTTGTTTAGTCCAGTAAGCAAAAAGTGTTTTGCTGGTCTGCACAGATTGGGTCAGTCGCTCAACTTGTCGACAGCTAGAATTGATAGCTACTTCATTTCTGGCAGCAGCGTCCATTACACCATTGGGACAGCAATGCCTTTTGAGGTACCCATGGAACTTTATGTGGTCCATGACTCCTGTTATTTTACCATGAATTAGCATAACCAGAAGAGCTATAATGAGATCCAACATGAGATGCAACTCGTATCCTTCTAGACTATTGTGAAAAATATTTAAGATTTCCTCTCTAATAGCAGCTCCAATTTTGTTTTAAATGTCGGTCCTGCAGTTTTTGATTTACTTTTAAATATTTTTGCCCTTCTGTAAATCTTTCAAAATACCGTTTACACCTATTTACATTGATATTCGGGAAGACGTCCCAAGGCACTGGACAGTTGAGGGTTTGCACCAGAGTTGGGAGTTCAAGTTGGGTGGGAGGCAAGGAGAATAGGTAGATGACCAAAAGTACGGTAAAAGAGGAAGTTCTTAAGATGAAAACGTGCGGTCAAAGTGGCACATTTTGAGATATGCCTTGAAAGAGAGGAGGCAGGAAGGGAGGGAGTCAAAGGGACTCCGAGATGGAATGGAATGGGGTTTCATCAATGCCTGATGTACTTATTTTTGCTCTACTTTACAGTTCCAATGATAACAGTTCAGATGGAATGTAAATATCAGGAGTGGGAGGAATGGAAGATTTTTAAATACTAGAATTCACAAATGATTACGACTCTAAAAGGAAGAATCTCAGAGAAAACAGGTGCCAAGTGTCAAAGTTAAACCAAACCCTGATTAATTCTAAATGTCTAATGGAATTGGCAGCATCTCACCAGCTTTTATGGAGTTATTCTTGGGTTTGATGAGTCAATCCAACAATTATCATGCTGATATATAGGTATTAAGTGATAAATAGGTATTATTAGAAATAGGAAGGATATTTATTGGAGAAACAGCTCTAATGGAACCCATTTAGCAATCTACAAGAGAGCCCTTTTGGAAAAGTATTCTTTGAAAAGCGTATTCTTTCGCTGTAGAATCTGTTGAGATGCAAACTCTATTTCTAATTACTCCTCTTCCATCTCGGCATAAAATAAATGTGCAGTCTGTATAAACAAAAAACAACCAATCACCCAGTAATTATTGATAACAATAGTAATCCTTAATAATCCTTACATTTGGTATACCAACTTTATCATCGGGAGTTTATCCCAAAATACTTCACCGGATATTCAGTAAAATGTGTATTTTTGTAGGTGAATGTGACAGCAAATGAACACAGCAATGTCACATAAACAGCCATCAATGCAGCACAACCCCAGCAATGCATTGGAGTGTCAGTCTGGAATCAGACTATGAGTCCATATTGATATCTAAGAGTGTAGAAGTATTTACAGAATTCAAATTGCTGAAACAGATCTGGCGCATGCTGTAGAACGTGATCTACCCTGTACTGCAGCTCTTTAGGTAACCTATTTTCCTGCCAACCAAAAACCATGATTAGTATGCAGGTAAGTGGCTGCTGCTAAAGCTCTACACTTCAGCCTGATGGAAGTCCTGC